AACATATTAACCTATTCTACACTACCTGTCAGAATCCAATTATATTTCATCTCTAGTTATCAACTATGGAAAACCCCATTTCTGCCTTCTCTGGATTCTGTCATACGATGAAGGGAAGGGGGTGAACAAAGGGGCTTTATGGCCCTCACTTCTTTCAGTATACTTCAAAGGGACTGGATGTGGATATCCACCAAAAGGACTAACAATAACAATTGGGGCCATTACCTTTCATGTAATCCTTTCTGAAATCTCTCCTCCCGGCAGTGAGGAAAAGGGGGTGGGAATGTAATGCCTGGAACTGTCGCTGGAAGAAGGGGGTGATGGGGTGGGGCTACTGGGGGATCTTTTAAAGCCTTGAATGGGAGAGCTTGAACCCCAAATCCTGTCTAGAATGCCTGCAACCAGTTTTCTCTTAATAAAGATGCCTGTTGGAAGAAATATTCCAAGAGTTCTGTCTTCTTAAGAAGCAAAGTGAGGTGGGTCCTTACACTACCATTTTCCTAAGGTTATTTTTATCTTCTTGCTCCAGTATGGTTCCCAAGTATTTATTGTCTAAGTATAATTGTCTTACTTTGGCTACCAATCAGTTTTCTGTATTAATTTCAAGTGACTTGCTTACAGTTAACTGTTTTATTCTACTATGGCTCCTGGAATATATGTGTGACATGAGAAGAATATTATTGAGAAAAGATAGGGGGGGGGGGAATGGAAAGAACCAAAAGCTTTGGTGAACTTACATTTGCAGAGGGTTTTGTAGAAAATTCTAAAATAAAAACTCAATTATCTATCAGGCCAAATAATGTAATATAAATGCACTTGGGGATTTATGCTGAATAACAGCATTCTGTAGTGCTCAAAACCAAACATCTTGTTTTAGCAAGATCTGTTTGTCTTTAGAAAGTTAGATTTGGCTAAGGTTTGTTAAAATGACTTTTTAAAAATCAGATAAGAAATGTCATAACATAGGAAACCAAGCAACATATTTTATCTGTTTTTTTATTATTTCTAAAAATATGCCTAAAGGCTTTGTAACTTTTTTATTATTATTTGGAGTTGTAGATTATTATTTAATGCTGTAATACAGTGGTTCTCAACCTGTGGGTCGGGACCCCATTTGGGGTCGATCAACCATTTCATGAGGGTCGCCAAGCAAGGCTGTCCGCCATTTTTTTGTCCGCCATTTTTTTTTGTCTGCCATTTCTTTCCCCTTTTCCGGCGGGTGCCTTACCTCCCTTGGGCTGGGCCAGCTGGTGGTCGGCCTGCTCCGTCTCTGCCGCTTGCCAGCTACACCTCGGCTGGCGCAGGGGGCGGAACCACACATGCGCGGCGCTCCCGGGCAGGGAAAGTCCTCGACTTACGACCGGTTGGGTAGTCCTCGACTTATGACCAGTTTAGTCCCCGACTTATGACCGGTTTAGTCCTCGACTTACGACCGGTTTAGTCCTCGACTTACGACCGGTTGGGGTCGCGGCATTAAAAAGGTTGAGAACCACTGCTGTAATAATATACCAACATTGTTTCCTGAATTACTTTTTGTATAAAATTGTGAAAATATGCTAATATTTAGATAAAAGCTCCTCTCCCTTTTGCTTAATAGGAAGAACACAGGAAGGGGGGAAATGGTTGGTTTAGCCTATTACATTTTTCAGTATCCTTCATGATGGAGTTGATGGACATTTTCTGTGCTCTATTGCAAAAAATGTTCATCATTTTATTTTTGTCAGTTTCTGGGAAAGTAGTGCAGCGAAGCATCATATAACCACATTTACTGCTAATCAGTGATTAAGATTCTCCCTTGTCTTGAGACAGAGATGTCTGGAAAAGATCTGGGCTTTGCTAGTGTCATTGCTATGAAATAACCTGCTATGAAATAACGAATGTTTTTTGAAAGTCAGTTCTCTTGCAATATACCCCTACAAAACTGATTGCAAGCACACATCTATTTCTAAAATCAAGGATAAAAGAAAAAAGAAAAAGGAGACTCACAATATTAAAGAACCGGGAAAGGAGAGAGCTTTATTATTTTTAGACATTTGTAATCTTGTCAGTTTTTTTATATTAGGTTATATCTGGAACTAAACAGGGCTAAATAATTCTGCTTCCACATTATCCAATAGTGGATCTTAGAAATGTTTTCCCTCTTTTGGATAACTTTTGTTTTCCCTCTTTTGGATAACAGTTTGTACATGTAGTACATGGGTGTGCCTAATTTTTTTGTTGGTACCTTAAACTCTTTTTTAAAACTCCACTGATTTCTTGATAAATCACACTTTTAACTGTATTGAAAATTTTATGCACAATTTGTCTTTGGAATGTTAGGATTCATTAACTGAAAAGAAATTAAGATTGTCAAAACTTTTATCCAAATACTATCAAACCCTACTGATAAGAGCATTGGATATTAAATTATACCACGCTAACACATTTTGCCCAGAATCACATATAGTTACTTTTAAGATTATAGTGATGGAATCATTCTCAAGTGCCTAACGTTAACAGTACACAATCATTACAATGAAAATATTATGATTATAATTGCAATTTATAATAATGCAGTAGTTGCTTCTTCTCATTCTTAGCTTTATCCTTTGTATGTACAGTAGTTAATTTTCTTCAGACTGTTTGGTTATAATATTTAAGTTATTTCCATGGCCTGGTCTGTTGTCACACCACTATCATCATTCTTCTTGATTTAGGCAGTAAACAAATTCAATTCCCTTGAAAATTTAAATTATTTAAATTGTTGTAATGAATGCAAACAGCCAGTACAGTAATCCATTTATTTCCTCTTATTTTTTTCACTCAAAGTACACCTAAAAACAACTATGAGACTGGTTAAACTGTAAGCAGTGAATATGTAGTCATATTTTTGGCTCCATATGCTGCAACAGCATCATCTGTTTTAAACCTGGTATCTCCATCTGTGATTTTGTGAAGACATTTGTTGCCTATTTTTTCTAGCTAATATGATTCTTTAGAATGTAAAATAATATTACCTTCATTACATTCCTTGTTGTTCTTTCTATGGACTTCCTATATTGGCTAAGCTCATTTCCCTACACCAGCACATCTTGTCAGATCCCGTTTCACCTTTTTCAAGGCTCTGTCATTCTAGTGAGAGGGGGGGAAGTGTCACTCATTTGGGAGAGGGATAGCAGATGTATTTCCTTTACTTTATTCTCTCTGTCTTTGATGTATCCCTTTTGGTGTGAAGAAGGGGGAGGAATGTGCTTTATCTGCACTCCATTGTAAAGACGAGGCTATGCCTGGGAAGTCTAGTATCGTTCTTGTTCCCTTAACAATGTTACACCTGTGGATTGGCTGAAAACGAACTGGACAGTTGGACTCAAGGGAGGGGTTTGAAAAGGGTTATTTTAATATTCTGCACAGGAATTCCTTTGATCTTGCCTTGCCTTTCTGCTTTCACTGACTCTCAATAAAAGTTCCTGTTTGAAACAATGTGTTTCAAGAGTTCTGCTTTCTTGAGAGCACTAGCTGAGGCAGGACCTTACACATGTACTGTATGTCCTTTTTCAATTTCAAGCACTTTCACTCCACCCACACTCTCCATCTCCCAACTCAACTTTGAGGCTTCTCTCCTGGTGATAATCAAGCAACAAATCAACATTTTAACTGGGATTAATTTCTGTGGAATACTAATTTTCTCACTCCTGATAAGCATGTTTAATGCTCTTACATCAGAAATGGGTAACAAAAAAGGTTATGCAAATATATGGTTTTTATATTCGGTATGGCCATGTTTTATTTATGAGCATTTAGTGTCAGTTCTCTGGGGATTATGATATGTTATGGAAGAAGTTATGATTGCTTTTGAAAGGAAGAGCTAAGAGTCTTTTCACCATGTGGAACCACATGGGTGGTTTGATCAGAGAAGAGGTAATTGCAGCAGGGCCAAAGAAATTTCAATATTTTGCTTTTCTTCTCTCCTCCAATGTTATTCCTTCCCCCCCCCCCCCGTTTACAAGCTGCTTCAAATTTAACGATTCTGAGCATTAAGCATGAGTTATGAATGCACATTGGCATTTTGCATCACTCTCTAATTTACAACATGCTCTGAGCAGGACTAGGTATCCAATGAGAAGGAAAAGAAAATCTGCACATTACAAGAGAAGCAAGGGAGAAAAATCAAGTAGCAAGGAAGGAGTCTCTGCCTGCACATGGCTCTGACAAGTAAAGGATGAAAAGAAGCCAAAAGCTCAGCTTTTGTCCTCCGCTCCCCCGCCCCGGGGTTTTGTAGTCTTACTACCGGTAACTGCTGATACTGCTGGAGAGTCGGGCAGGAAATTACCGTTCCAGCAGCACCTTCCTCCTCGCATCTGCCCTTCCTTTGCAAACTTCTGGAGCACGTTTTTGCGAAAGGTGTGCGGGGGCCCCGGTTTGTCTGGTACTGCAGCAACCTGTTCGGATTTCAATGGGGAGGCTTCTAAGGAGGCCGGGAACCAAGCGCCGAGGCAGAAGCATAAAGTCCACCAGCAGCCCCCACATCCAGCGTGGGTTCCAGGTGAAGCTGCTGCTATTGTTGCTGTACCGGCTCTGGTCTAACTGAAACAGAGTGGGAAGAGAGGAGGGCGGGAGACAGCATCCCCTCTTCCCGCAGAAGCCGCGACTTCCCTAAACTAAAACCGCGATCGCGCTTTTATGTGCATACAGACTTGATGAATCAAGCTGGGGCACATCCACGCAAGGGCAAGGAGCCAGAGTTAAGTCGCCGGCTCAGGCCCTTATTCGCACAGCCCAGGAAATGGAGGGGGAGGGGAGAGAAGACAAGGAGGCGAAGCCCCCCACCCCCCGCGAAGCAGTGGTGGTGCCAGCATCACTGCCCATTGCTGGGTTTAGGAAGAAGGAAGGCAGAACTCCGGGATGCTCCGCGCTAGGACCCAGCAAAGCAAGGCGGCGCCTCCGGGCACTTTTTGCTCTGCGGAGCTCTGGCTCCAGCAGCGCGCGCCATCGCCAGCTCGTCTCTTTTCTCCTCCTGCGGCTCCGCCCTTCCCGGTTCCTGGAACCAGTAGGGGAAGGAACGTGTGCCTACTATAGCCACTGCTTGCCTGCTGTCCGTTTGCTCGGATGCGCGGATGCCAGCGCGCTCCTCCTCCTCCCCCGCGACTAGCCCCGCACGCGGATAGACTGCTGCTCGCCTGCGCCAGCCTCGCGCTCGGGTCTCCCCTCCTTTCGCGCGCGCCCGGGCACGCCAAGCCCGCTCTGGATCCGCTGCTTTTCGTAGGGTTGCTGTGTGGTACTGGTACTGCAGTCATCTTTCGGCGCCCTCCCCACCCCCCCGCAAGCCTCCCAAGTTTCCCCGTTCTCGAGCTTCCTTTCCTCCCTTGGCAAGATTTTTTCAGCCTCACCAAGTCCCCCTCTTACTCCTCCTCCTCATCATTATTGTCATCACCACCGCCACCACCATCACTTTCTCTCTCTTTCTATATATATATATATTTGGAAGCTCCTTTGAGCGCCTCCCAAGGTAGGCTCCTCACCCCCTCTCCCCTCTTCCCCTCTTATCTCCATCCATGGAAAAACTCAAGAATTAGTGGCTTTGTGTATTGATCTGCACAAAAATGGAGAATGTGAATGTGTTTGTGCATAAAGAGGATTCACTGAACCTTCAGCTAATACGAGCCTCCTGTTTTGAGTAGATCCTTTTTAAAAAGATACTGCAACTTTGTGCTGCCCTGTGACTGTTATTATTTATGAAGTGCATCTCCCGTCTTCATGAACGTGACAGGTATTGTCTTCATTCAAACATGGTTAACATTTGGAAGATAGAAATTGCATTGGATTACAGGGATATCTGTAATACCCTTCCTCTTCCTTTCCTCTTCCTCCTCCTCCTCTCTCTCTTATATATTTTGGAAAATATATAAAATTAGGGTAAATGTATAATACCAGTGGTGAAGTGATTAAATAGTTTACTAGATAGGGAAAAGTCTGGAATCTTTATGTTACAGAGAAGGGCGGAGAGAAAATAGTAGTAGTTGCATCTGTCCATATGTCACTTTTAGTTATGCATTGCATGTTCCAGCAAGACATGATCTCAGAAAAGGATGGTGATATAAGTTGTCATTGGGAGAAAAAGTGCTTCTGAGACTCCAAGATTTAAAGTCCTCCTTGAAGTGATGGTAGTTGAGTTGAACTGAAAGTATCAATAGATAGATATAAGCTAAGTATCCTCTCCTTTTTAGTCTTTAGATTTTGCAAAGCAGCTGCTCTGAAGAGGAAGAAAATACCCTACATGATGCAGTGGCTTCTCATTTTCTTGATATGCTTTTCTGCAAGGTGAGAGGAAATTTGGATTTTCTATAAGCAATATATTGTTTTCTGGGGGTTGGTTTCTGTAAATGGCAGATATACAGAGATGAGTGATCAAAAATCATATTCCTAACATGAGCTTTCTAATTGTATGCAGAACAAGTCAAGTAAAGGAAGAAGTTATGGGGATGGTAAAATGCTAGTAACCTTATAGTACACCTATGCTTTTAAATGTCAAATGACATTTGTCATGTTTAGCCTAAAATAAAACAGAAATTAGTTTACAGATTCTTTTTCTGTTTCTGTATTCTTTAATGTTTTGCAATGATTTCTGGAGTCATAGTGCTACTATTAATTATCCCAAGCCTGTCCACACAGAGAATAAGATTTTTCTAAAGTCCAGAAACAAGATAAAATAGGGAAGGTAGTGGGGTATTTTGTATACAGACCAGTATTTTTGGTCAAAATAACAGAATGGACTTGTTTAATCTGTAAACCTCTAGGTGGAGATAGTATACAATTCCATAATCCCATAAAATAAAACAATATGAATTATTAATCAACTTTTCTGGCTGCTGAATAAATGGCAGTTCTAAAATAACATCATATAGCACAACTTAAAGATGTTCATTAAACTAGGTGTCACCTGACCTCATTATGCATCCAGTTAATAGTGATTTGTCACTACATTTTTGCTTGTAGATTCACAATCTTGATTGTATTATCATCCTAGCTAATGTATTTGGATATTTGTTTTCCTCAAATCTTTGAACTTCAAAGTTTATTGTAAAAATAGGTTTTGGGGCTAAATAATTGGCTACATATTTCTGTGGTCAGAATTAAAAAGTATTTTCAATTTTATCCAACTAGCAAAGATACTGCAGTATGAGTTTGACCATAGAAGGCCTGGTCTTCCTATCTTTACTCAAGTGAGTAAGTCACATTGCTGTCAAGGAACCAGCATGAATAACAGGAAATGATTCCTAATTTTTCAGAATTAGACTCAATGATACAGTTATTACAATTTGTGTACTAATTTGTCTATGGAAAAGACCTTCATTGAACACTTCCAGAAACATTTGTTTTTGCACATTATGCATGGATTAATAATAGTATTTAGAATATGTTTCGAGTAACCTGTGGCAAATACTTTTAGATGATTGCATGGAGATGATAAAGCAATATTAATGTTATTTTAATGTGATTCTGTTATTTGAAATTTGTATGTCTTTGTTATTTGAATTTGTATATTATGAGGTGCTTTAGTTTTTCAGTCTTAGCCAGATAGCAAAAGCATATTGTATATATTATTGCTTTTAGTAAAAAGAAGGGAGGGAATTAAATGATTTTTTATTGTTGCTATTTTCTTTTCCATTCATCTTTAAATTCATTCTGCATGTGATGTTTTTTATTTTAGGAAATCAATATACTTCTTTCACTGAAACCTGATTATTGTTTTCAATTACTGTTGTTGAAAGTATTTTAACAGCAATAATGCCAATCTCGGTGGTTTTTTAAAAAAACTGGGCAGAACTCTTATCATTTGCTTTGTCATCCTGTATGTGCCCATTAATTACAAACATGGAGGCTAATTCAACATGGGGAGTTCATCTATGGCAAGGGTGTCAAAATGCCAGCCCATGGGCCAGTTGCATCATGCGGAGGCCGCGCCCACTCCAGCTCCGGCAATGCAAAAAAAGTCACGATATGTCACGACAGCTCACGTGACGCAGCAAGTTTGACACCCGTGATCTATGGCTTGTGAACCATACAGTCCCTAAGTGAATACAGTACATTTTTAGATAGTTTAAAGTAAAAAAAAATGATATTCAACATCTTTGTACTTATTGTCCTTGAAGACATTCATTTGTACAGCACCAGTTGGGGAGTTCTATTTAACTCTTATTTTCATAGGTAATTAGAAATAGCAGGATTGTACAGTATTTTGGAGTGCTTTGTGCACAGCTTTTCTCATTCTGTTTCCAGTTCTGCAAAGACCAGAAAAATCATGTTAACCTCTTCTTTTAGGGGTTGTTACCAACTACTTATATTTGTGTAATTGATAGCAGTAAAGCAGATGGCAACATCTAGCTAGCTTTGATACATCTTGAAAAAACTAAGCAGGGTTGGGTTAATACTTGGATAGTATATCATCAGAAACCTTACATTTATAAGTTAGATTGAATTTTGAACAAATCCCAGAAGAAGGTAATAGAAGCCAGATTTGATTCCTGGTGACCTGCTGGACATGCTGTGCAGTTTTCTTAACACAAATATGGAGTGGTTCTCACTGTTTTCTCCTGGGATAGTGTTTTCCAAATTCTAATCTTGGCTACAAGTTGAAGACTTCCTGGTCATCTTCCATTCAAGTACTGACCATACCTAATCCAGCTTAGCTTTTTCAACATCACCCAAGGTTACTGGTTACAGAGACAGAGTGGAAAAGTACACATAATTTGAGTATTTAATATGGAGTAGAATTTACTGCAGGAAATAGCAGGATTTAGAAACATTTAGAATGTTATGTTTTAATATATGTGATGTTAAATGAAAGGTCCCATATCTAAAAAGATATTGATCACTACATATTCAAATCATAATGAATGTACATGGAGCATACTTAGTTTATTTTCCCCCCAATATCTGTTAGATCAGCACTGGCTGACATCAATGAAGATGAAGCAAAAAATAACATTACCATCTTCACAAGAATTCTAGACAGACTTCTGGATGGTTATGATAATCGTCTAAGACCTGGACTGGGAGGTAATGAATAATTTGATTCTTAAGCAAACAAAAGATCCTACAATGTTGCTAGAATTCTGGGGTTTAATAATTCTGTTTACTAATGTTCTCCTAGTAGTAAAATTTCATGCAGGGATTTTAAGTTGTGGGTGAAATGTTGATCCTAGGTTCAAGAAATTGGTTTCCAAACTTTTAAGTTTAAAATCACTTTTCAGTACAGATGGTATGACGTTCTTGGGTGAGTAGTACTTTCTGTCTTATATTTTGGATTAATTTGGAACTTAATACTATATATTTATTTGAATATATATAAATTGCCCCAATGGCCTAATGTGGTACTTTAATCCTAACAGGAAAAGAACTTTGACTATTAAACTTTCTGCAGACCTGATTTCTGTGTGAAGCAGAGAGACTTGGGGTGGGTGGGTTGGTGTCTGCCTTTAAAATCCTTTGGGGAAATATATTCTGCCTTTTTAATATTTCCCCAAATATTTCTTTCTCTGGATTCTTCCCACAGTACTTTTTTCAAAAACTTTATATTGTCACCTACATCAGTAACAGCAGCAGTAAAAAAGATTTAAATGAAATATGCAATTTATATTTTTAATAGCTAGAACATTAGAACAAGAGAACACAAATTTAGGAGAAAAAAGGAAAAATTGCATTCTTTTGGTGCTAAAGAGTCAGTAGGTTGGAGTATATTGCATCAAAATTTTGCATTTGAGTCCTAGAAAAGGTCTAAACATTGACTTTGCTGTTCAGGTAACTGTGTATTGATTTAACAATGAAATAATAGGCTGATACATCTTTCCCTCTTTTGGTTATTTCTGGCATCACTGTATGAATAAATGACGATTCACAAATCTTTACTATATTAAAAAAATAACATGCAAGAATTTTGTTTGCCAGGAATTGTGTAGCCAGTGATATAGGCAAACTTTTGTTTACAAGTGTTCTTTGACTGGACTAAAAAGTGTAGAACTTTATCTCTTCTTCCAGAGGCCTCCTTGGCTCCTCCTTACTGATTTAAACTCTTCTATTGTCTCTATATGTCTTGTGTGGGAGTTCCTACACAGGACCGGAATAACTCTTTGTGATATGGCTATGCTAGCTTTTCCTGATCATATGGCAGATTTGCTGTAGAAATTATTACATGAGTGATTATATATTTTATACAGTTGTTCACTTCTTTGATGGTTTTTTTGTGTGAATCATGTAATGCTTAGATGATAATTGCTTTTTGCTGAGTTTATAATTTGAAGAATATGTGACCATGTAAGAGAGAACAGTGCAAGAGAAATTAGCTCCAGATTGCAATGGAAGGCTCAGTCTTACAGATTATAGACGTTTGAGAGAATAGAAGGGTCCTGTTTAGTTCTAAAAATTCAAAGCTGCCCTGTTCTCTTTGTAAAATATTCTATTTTGAGGGCTGGCCAGAATAGCAGTACAGTTGATTTGTAGTTATAGAGTTGTATGAAATATAGATATAGCCTCCATTAAGATCTCTTTTGCTCTGACAGAAGAGTTTGCCTGCCCTATCCTAATTTTCATCAGTAAATAGATTCTGTTCATTGTGAATAATTGCCTGGAACTGTAGTCAGCTACATTCTGTGGGTTCTTCCTCTGAGTGCTGGGTTTTGAAATGTACAAGTGCTGAATGTTGACATCTTGTGCATACATTATCCTAGGCAATTCTCTTCTTTCTCCTCTGCCATTCCCATAGTTTTCAAACTGTGTTCTCAGAAGGAGTTCCTTACTGAGATGATGAGTAAAAGGACAACTTAGCCACTGCTATTAATTTGCAAGATAGTTCCTTGTTATAGCCAGGATTTTAGTTCTCCTGAAGATGAACAGAGCTGTCTAGCGCTTTATTTACACAGAGGAAGAATATTTTAATTATCTGGAATCCTTTATAACACACTGAGGATCTTTCAGCAGACATGTCAGTTTGAAAAAATAATCTTCCTGAAGCAGAAAGAGAGAAAATATCCTCATTGTTGCAAGATAAATAATAGATCTGCTACAGCAACAACTTTGGCATTCTGCATAGGAGAACATACATTGACATACACATAAAAAGAAAAGGGAAGAATACATGACTAGAATCAGGATCTAGTTTAGGGGACCTCCGTGCGTACATCCTGCACCATGCAAGATCCTCTTTTTATATTTTGGATTTATATCCCGCCCTTCTCCTCGCGGACTCAGGGTGGCTGACAATCAATTAAAATACATAAATAACAATTACAAATTTAAAATTAATTAAAAGAAATATTTGAACATTTGTCCAATTAAAATATAATTAAAACCCCTCTAAAAATTACCCTAGGCCAGTCCTGCAAGCTGGAATAGCCAAGTCTTAAGGGCGCGGCGGAAGGAAGGGAGATCAGGGATGACCCTGATCTCTGGGGGCAGTTCATTCCAGAGGGTGGGAGCTCCCACAGAGAAGGACCTCCCCCTTGGGGTCGCCAGCCGGCACTGTCTGGCCGACGGCACCCTGAGGAGACCCACTCTGTGGGAGCGTACAGGTCGATGGGAGGTAATCTGCGGCAGGAGGCGGTCTCGCAGGTATCCGGGTCCGATGCCATGGAGCGCTTTAAAGATGATAGTCAACACCTTGAAGCGCACCCGGAAGGCCACAGGCAGCCAATGCAGCTCGCGCAGCAGCGGCGTCACGTGGGAGCGTCGAGTCCCCCCCAACACCGCCCGCGCGGCCGCATTTTGGACCAGCTGGAGCCTCCGGGTGCTCCTCAAGGGGAGCCCCATGTAGAGAGCATTACAGTAGTCCAGGCGGGAGGTGACAAGGGCGTGAGTGACCGTGCGTAGGGCGTCCCGGTCCAGAAAAGGCCGCAACTGGT